ACTGTCTTTACTGGACTTTACTATTTCTCAGCTGCTTACCATTTGCTGCTTCTGTGTCCTACGTTATTAAATCCTCCCAGTGTCCCCCTCACAACTTCAAACATGTTTCTCCTCTCATTTTCCCCAAAAAGTTAATTAAGGCTACTAATCTCTTAGAAGTACTCTATTCTCATAAATTCTAATCCACTTCTATCCAATATTACCTCCATCACCTCCTTTCCGTCTATTAAAATCAAACATATTGTCTGAAACATCACTTTTGTGCTCGGAAAAAATTTTGCTTAAGATTGGTACTTTTAAAAAAAAATCCAGCACTACTATCTCCAGATGCTGAAGACAGTAACAATGGGATACATTAGTGACATCTTTGCCTCATATCCCTTTGCATATTCTGAATATCTGACAGCAATATTGTTATCGATACTTATTTTCTGATCTTCAAAATCAATATAAGAATTGCCTTTTCTAACTTCATTCCAGGGTGATTGCTTTAATCCATCACAAAACCACATATATCTGAACTACACATAAGGGAGGATTAAATTGCAACTTTCCTGTCTTAAGCAGTACAAGAAAAATTCCAGTGTGGAAGTTAAAGTCTGTAAACCCAGTTTCAACACATTCAAGTGTGTTATGTGATTTCCAGGAAGCTCTTCAATTTATTCATCAGGGGTTTTTTTGCCACCGCCATACCCTTAGAGTGAGTATACCAAAAGAAGGTACAAATTAGCAAATTAGATTTAATGTTTAGGCAGATTTTCTAGGCACTGGGGATCTCTTGCAAATCATGTCACACCAATTAGTATTGCTAGTATTTTGAAAAGGTTTGTTTAATATTTTTTTCTCAGTTACAGACTTAAAATACAGACTTCGGGTAGTTCTGGATGTTACAAAGACTGACTCTAATGTCTGTTGAACTCATGAAATTCTGTAACGTCACTAATGTGCCACAAGCAGCACACACTGAACTGTACTGTACGCAGTAGAGCTCCATATACACAAATCTATCCTTATACATTCCTTTGCACAACTGGAGACTTGTTGATAATCTGCATATCATAGCAAGGCCACCAGTATGCATACCTATTCGAGACATAGCGTAATTATCCAGCACATACACAAGTTCATATTTTCCTCCTACGGTTCCAGAGACCGCATAGTGAGTTCCATAATCTTCTAGGAATTTGAAATATTCCCCCTTATCATATTCAGCAGGCAGAAAGTTTAGATCATCAAGGAAACTATCTGTGAGGTGGACATCACGACTCCGCATTTGGAATCTTCCCAGCTGAATCTTTCCTTTTATATGCAGGAAGGTTTGGTTCTGAATTGGAGGACAAGAAAATGTGAGACTGTCATTCTGGTATGCAGCACAGCAGGAAAATCTGTTCTGTTTTACTTATACAGAAACTGCAGCACTTTTAAATATGACATTTAATCTAGCATTTTGGAACAGGAACAAACTTGTTTATTTCAAATGGAAAGTTCTCCTGTTTAAATAGGGGAAGCTGCTAGAGCTTTCAATCTTTCAATTCTTGCAGTTTTGCAGAACTCTGCCCTTACTAATTTCAGCAAGCCGTTTGTGATTTATTTGACAATAAGGTCTTCTTTTTAAGTACAGCATCTACAAAAAATACTTTTCTGTCTTTCATAATATGGAAAAGTACTTCACTATGGCTCACTAGATAGCTGCCCGTGGAAGTCAGCTGCTTGTCTTTGCAGTCAGAGCAGAACTCAGTTCTCTCTTTTTTTGGATCACTTCTCTTATTCTTGGATTGTCTGAAAGAAGGGCACAGCTCCAGTTAAAAACAAAAAATCCCCAAATAACATCATAAAATGAAAATTAATTAGGAAAAAGTCCCTTTGAGGCATTTGACCCATGTATACAATTCAACTCTAGCATTAGTGACTGATACTTTCATAAATTACACTGCAGATGGTTTTATATCATATATATATATAGGAAGATGAGGGTGGCTAGTCAAGAGTGAACAATAGGAAAATTAAGCTACATTTGGCTACCTTTTGGCCATATCTGAAATCTTAACCCTAGTATTACTAATAGTTAAATTTTGTGAATAAATGTCAGAAAAGCAGTAGGCAACTAGAATACTTAGAGGGAATAATACTGAATTATTCTAACATTGTGTGAATTTTATTGTTTGTAAGATAGTTACATTAAACACTTTAGCTTGATTAAACTTACCCTTTCCGTGGAGCTTTTCAGGATCGAACTTAAACTTAAATTCTTGCTATAGTAATACTTGAAATTTCCTTCTGAACCATTTTTGTTACTTCCTTCAGTAGGTGTGTACTTCAGAGAGAGGCCAACATTAAAGTGCTTTTGTTTTTCTATGTAAACCTCTCGTAACATTTTTACACGGTCATGGTAGAACACAGATGTGAATGATTTGTCTGCTTTTGTCTTAGAAAAGATAATGAAAAGTTAGTATAAGAAAATGAAATGGGCAGTAACAGAAAAAAATCTACACAGCACTTTAAAGTTACAGACTACATAGCTTGTACAGTTTCTTACAGCTCTTTCTTCTTTGGAAGGAAAACAAATGGGAATACCACTCCCTCCTGAAACCCTCACTTCTAGATCAGCTCAGTTATTTAAAACTAAAAAGAAAACTGCAGTAACAATATTTCAGCAAGTGTTAAATCTCAGCATGTAACACGCTTGAAGTAGTTTATGTGTGTCAACAGTTCTTTTACATGTAAGGAGTAGTAGTCTCCAGCTCCTTCCTAGAATGCAGGCAAGATTTGATAAAAGATCCCAACATCTGAAATGAATCAAAGTTGTGATTTTGTTTTCTTTTCCTACAGCATGCAATAGCTAATTCAAACTACCTATTTCAGTGCTGTTTGGTTTTGTATACTTCAGCAGAACATAAAGTTTTAGTAACAAAATGATTATGCATCAAAATCAAATGTGAACAATGATCTCTGGGTCAGAGTTACCCGTTTTGGGCAGGATCTGGTTTAAATTTTCATTGTTCTATGAAGTCCCTACTGCCCATAGTGACAGGCAAAGCATTTCCTAAGCAAAATACTGCTCCGATTTCCGACTTGCATCTGACACAGATATTTCTATGATCATCATAATTTCTGGTGTTCAAACCTCACTGGAAGTCACATTCTGAATATCAAAAGCCTACAAGATTTTTTTTTCTCTATGGGAAAGAGAAAGTAAACACTGATTAGAAAACCCAAGCAGGACCAGAGTATCATAATATTATTCCTGCCTTTTTATCAGTGCATTTTGTGGTACTTGAAAAAGCAGCTTGTTTGCTAATCTGCCCAGTAAACGTTAGGCACATCTGTACGCCTCTTTTTTTTCCCATCTGCTCATACTGTAAACAATCCAAAAAGATTGTTTCATTTACCAGTCACAGGTACAGCAACAAATGCCTGGGAATTCATCCGACTCAGCCAAAGCACATGGTAACACAACATGTTTTCCTCTGGACTCTATCAAAAGCTTGATGATAAAAAGCAGCTGCTGCCTGACTCAAGAGATGTGTTAAGTCTTACAAGAGGGTGTCAGTATCGATCATTCAGTTAGACATATCCTAGTTTGAACAGAAGTGCTTAGAATCATAGAATCAAGGAATCATTTTGGCTGGAAAAGACTTTTAAGATCATCAAGTCCAACTGTTAACCTAGCAATGTCAGGTCCAGCACTAAACCATGTCCTACACATCTTTTAAATACCTACAGGGATGGTGATTCCACCACTTTCCTGGGAAGCCTCTTCCAATGCTTAACAACCCTTTTGCTCAAGAAATTTTTCATAATATCCAACCCAAACCTCCCCTGGCACACCTTGAGGCAATTTCCTCTTGACCTACCACTTGTTACTTGGGAAAAGAGACCACTACCCTCACTACCTCCTCCCTTCAAGCAGCCGTAGAGAGCAATAGGGTCTCCCCTCAGCCTCCTCTTCTCCAGGCTAAACAATCCCAGTTCCCTCAGCTGGTCCTCATAGAACTTGTTCTTGAGACCCTTCACCAGCTTCATTGCCTTTCTCTGGACACAGTCCAGCACCTCAGTGTCTTTCATGGAGTTGAGGGGCCCAAACCTGAACAGAGGTTTGAGATGCTGCCTCACCAGTGCTGAGTACAGGGGGATAATCACTTCCCTGGTCCTGCTGGTCACACTGTTTCTGATGCAGACCAGGATGCTGTTGGCCTTTTTGGCCACCTGGGCACACTGCTGGCTTATGTTCAGCTTGCTGTTGACCAACACCCCAAGGTCTTTCTCTGTGGAGCAGCATTCCAACCACTCTTGCCCAAGCCTGTAGCGTTGCCTGAGGTTGTAAGCCAAGTGCAGGACCCGGCACTTGGCCTTGTTGAACCTCACACAGCTGGCCTTAGCCCATTGATCCAGCCTGTCCAGACTCCCCTGCAGAGACTTCCTACCCTCAAGCATATGAACAGTCCCACCCAGCTTGGTGTTGCCTGCAAAATTACTGAGGGTGCACTTGACCCCCTTGTCTAGATTATTGATAAAGATATTAAACAAAACTGTCCCAAATATTGAACCCTGGGGAACACCACTTGTGAGAGGCCACCAACTGAATTTAACTCCATTTGCCATCAGTCGTTGGGCCTGATTTTACAGCCAGCAAAGAGCATGCCCACCCAAGCTGTGACCAGCCAGTTCCTCTAGGAGAGTGCTGTGGGAAAGTGTCAAAGACTTTACTAAAGTTGAGACAGCTTTTCCCTCATCCACAAAATGGGTCATCTTGGTTAGTCAGGCAGGACTTGCCTTTCACACACCCATGCTGACTGGGTCTGATCAGCTGGTTGTCTTGTATGTGCCATGCAGTGGCACTTGAGATGATCTGCTCCCTAACCTTCTCTGGCACCAAGGTCACACTGACAGGCTTGTAGTTCCCCAGATCCTCCTTCTGGCCCTTCTTGTAGATCAGCATAACATTTCTTAATATGCAGTTCACTGGGGCCTCCCTGGTTATCCAGAACTGTTGATAAATGATTGACTTACATCATAAGTGAGGACACCCACATTCCATGGCTTGCGGTAATATGTCCGTGTGTTTCCATCACGCACCCTTTCACAAAGACCATTGAAAAAGTCGTTGTCAAATGGGCTGACCATTGGCTGCATCCCTAAAATATTAATTCTACAAGAGAAACACAGGAGCGGTTACACTTCAGAAAAAAATGTGTCAGCATCCATAGCCTGTAGAAAATGCTATTATGATTGAAAGATTCTGTAAAAGATGGAGAATATAGCTGTGGAGTTGGATCTTGCTTCACCCACAGCAGTTTGCCTCATGTCTTGTGGTCCTTTCAGCTGTGTAATGGAGATAATGATGCATCTTTCCTAAGGCACTTTGAGGGCCATGTGTGAGAAATAAACAAATGAAAGACAGATATTAAACATCAATCACAGTAAGAACCTTAGGAATAAAAGGAAGTGAAAACCTTTTCTTATTGACCAGTTGTGGCTGTTGGATTTGCTCTGACAAAAGCCTGCCAAAGACCTGAGAAAAGCTTGCCAATGTCCTTTGACAAGGAGAGCACAAGCAAAAAAGGCTGCCAGCATTGTCCAAATTAAAAAGTTAATCACAGGTGTAGATCTAGAGGATTGGTATCTCACAGAGAGAGACAGTGATGTAAACATTTCAGAGGGAATGAAGGAATTGGAAGAAAAGGAAGTGGGCCCTGTCACTAAAAGTGAGATGCATACAGGACGGCAAGGTGAAACTGAGTATTTGTGGAGATTCTCTTTAGTGGTGTGGTGGACATCGCATACTGCTGAGTGATGATGAGGCAACAGGGTTTTGGTGACCTGGAGTGTTTCTAAGTGAGGGGTTGGCAGGAAACCATTTGATCATGTCCAGAGTAGCTTACTGGGCTGGGGCTGTAGACCCCAAAGAATGAGGAGAGCCTGTCACTATCTGGGTAAAAGGCTTGTCAGGGTTAGCAGAAGGGGTGAAGAAGGCTGTCTGCATCCAGGTAGTATACACAACAGGGTGGCACTGGTTGCTAACACATTGGTGGCCTCAGATGGCCTTAGTTTGGGCTACTGAATGCTTTAAAGTTACACATCCAGGCTCGCAGGGAAAGGATTCAGAGAACACAGTCAGCAAAACCCTTAGAATCTGCCTGCCCATGTGATGACTTGGACACAAACACTAGAGGATATAGTTAGTGCAAGATGGGATGGTTTGAGCCGAGCTAGGGCGCCTACAGGAACAAGAAGATCTGGCAAGTCAGTAACAAAAAAAACACCGATAGACCCTCTTCCTGGGAGTCTGAATCCTCCTGAGGGAAACCATATCAGACCTATGATCTGTGAGGAAAGAACCTCTGGCAAAAATCTTTGGCACTGGGGGTACCTCATAAGGGAATCATAGAATCATAGAATCATAGAATGGCTTAGGCTGGAAGGGACCTTATAGATCATCTAGTCCAACCTCCTTGTCATGGGCAGGGACGCCTCTCAACTAGATCAGGCTACTCCAAGCTCCATCCAACTTGGCCTCGGACACCTCTAGGGAGGGGACAGCCACAACATCTCTGGGCAATTTATTCCAAAGTCTCGCCACCCTCGTACTGAAGAATTTCTTCCTAAGATCTAATCTAAATCTGTTCTCCTTCAACTTAAACCCATTTCCCGTTATCCTATCGTTGGTCACTCTTGTAAAAAGTTCCTCCCCAGCCTTC